GGGTTCAATTGAAGGGGGTGGGGGGGGGTGTGTGTTCGGGTCGGGGCGGGGTGGGAGGGTTTACCGGGGTGGTTAGGGGCGGTAGGAACCGTCAATTTTACGAACGGGGCACCGGAGCGCCCCGGGTCATCCCATGACATTGGTTCCCAATGTCATGGGAACCTTGCCCTATATATATACACACACACACACACACACACACACACACACACACACACATACATACATATATATATATATGTGTGTGTGTATATATATATATATATATATATATATATTGAAAACTAATTAGGGTTTCACCCTTGCTGAACAAGTTATAACAAACTGGGCTTAAAACCATTAGGGCCGGCCGAATTCTAATCTGGTCTCCTAATTTTCTGTTGTCTACAAGAGTGGGCCGATGACTATATATCGCCAACATCTCTCTCCACTCATCTTGCATCTGTGCTGCCTTGGAAATAACATTAAACATCTCCCTCCACACAAACCAATGTCTCCCAGTCTGCCCATAATCTCATCCGGTCCCATGGCTTTCCCCCCCTCTCATCCTGCTCATGGCCCTCACCAGCTCTTCGTGTCTTATGTGCCTACAATATCTAGAATCACGATAGCTTCATGGCCCTCAGACTGCTTGAGCTCACCTAGTTGAAGATTCATGTCCCCGCCAACATCGAAAAGGCAGCTTGACTTAGTTGTACTTTTGCAACATTATTTTACCCTACATGCCGGTTGACTTAGTTGTACTTTTGCAACATTCTTCTTTGAAACTAAGAGTAACTTAGTGAGTTTCTTTTCTATTTGGTTTTGCAGGGTTGTCATAAGTGTTGATGTTCCTTATATCAAAATGGTCAGTGAACAATTTGATAGGTGCCATGGTACTCTTCTCCAGTATGTGGAGTTTTTGTCTAGTGCAGTTACCCCAGCAACTAGCTATGCTCTACTTGTTCCAACTCTGGATGACCTTTTACGCCTTTATCATCTTGAACCTGAGGTAATATATTCCGTATCAAACTTTTTTGAATTTTTGTAAACAACGATGTTCTTGCCTATTATAAGTTGAAAGTTTAAGTTACAGTTTTGCTATTTCTTTTTCAAATTAAAACTTGGTCAAGTCGTTATTAATACTGTTGATAGTGTACCTCTTCAGGTTGCATTTTTAATTTATCGGCCAGTTATGAGGCTCTTTCGATCTCAGAACAGTCCAGATTCGTTTTGGCCATTAGACTATGACGAAGCAATGAGTGATGTGATGCCTGGAACGGAACCTGAAACAATGCGTGGCTCTACAAAAATGGTTCTGGATCTTGGCTCCTCTCGCAAGCCTATCTTGTAATTCTTTATGCCCAATTCGTTCACAAAATTCATCTGATTCCTCTCTCTACTGCATTCTATGAATTTGCAAATTTCGGGCATTGAATTTTTTAGGGTTGAGTTGAATATTCACATGCTTGTGATGTTTCATCATTACATTTTGAAGTTCTGTGAGAGCAAGTCTTTGCTATCTTAGTGTTTGCAGTAACTCTCTTAGAGCTGGTGTTCAAAATGGTTTCTGTGGTGTTCATTAATCTATCAGTCTCGAACTTTATTGCTGCCATCATTTTTCCTACTTTAACTCTTTAGCTTCAATTTTCTAACTGCTGTCCTTTTTGCTAGTAATATTAATAAAGCTTGTGAAATTTTATTCTTTCAGCTGGGAAGACCTACTTGATACAATCAAAACAATGTTACCTTCAAAAGCATGGAATAGTTTGTCTACAGACCTGTATGCTACATTTTGGGGTCTTTGTCTTTATGATCTCTATGTCCCTAGAAATCGTTATGATTCTGAAATCGCTAAGCAACATGTTGCTCTTAAAGCACTCGAAGAATTATCTGATAATTCTAGTTCTGCAATCACCAAGAGGAAGAAAGATAAAGAAAGAATTCAAGAGTCTCTTGACCGTCTGACGTTGGAACTCCATAAACATGAAGAACATGTTGCATCTGTCCATAGACGTCTAGCCCGTGAAAAGGACAAGTGGTTGAGTTCCTGCCCTGATACATTAAAAATCAATATGGAATTTCTTCAGCGGTGCATCTTTCCACGTTGTACTTTCAGTATGCCTGATGCGGTATACTGTGCTCTGTTTGTAAACACTCTTCATTCACTCGGAACACCTTTTTTTAACACCGTTAACCACATAGATGTGTTGATATGCAAAACACTACAACCTATGATTTGTTGTTGCACTGAGTATGAAGTGGGTCGTCTAGGAAGGTTCTTGTATGAAACTTTGAAGACAGCCTATTATTGGAAGGTACACAGATCAATTTTAGAGCCTTTGTTTTTTGTTGCATGCATTTTCTAATAATGTAGCACTATTTTAGGGTGACGAAGCAATATATGAACGTGAATGTGGGAATATGCCAGGGTTTGCCGTTTACTACAGATTCCCAAACAGCCAGCGTGTCACATATAGCCAATTCATCAAGGTTGATTTGTTAGAATTTTAATCTCATTATGTTTCATGTTTTTACGGCCTTCTTCAAAGTTTAAAATTGTGGATGACTAGTACTAGCTCTTGGTGAGAACCTGAAAACCTGGAAAGTGATCTTGTTCTTATGGCTGTTGTGTTAATCATTGTCAAGCCCAGCGCTCTGGATTTTGCAGGGTATGGGGCATATAACATATACAAATTGTTTTCGCCTAGATTCTATATTAGTAAAATCTTTGGGCCCTTGTACATTTCTTAATAGAATCTTCTGTTTCAGAGATTCTTTAATTTTCATTTCTGAATTGAGTCATTTGGACAGTTTGTTATTTGCACCAGATTCTGTGCCTCATGTCTTCATTGGATTTCAAAATCATGGAAGATATAGAATATCATCTCTACTACTCCTTCCGTCCCAAATTCATTTTCTCATCTCATAATGGCACAAAGAATTGTGTGGTTGAAGCATATGGAAAGGTAAGAGAATTATGAACCACATAATTCTTTCATTAAAATAAAAGGAACGGGAACATCATTTTGGGATGTCCAAAAAAGAAAAGTGATACGATAAATTTGGGATGGAGGGAGTATATTTTGAATTTGAGCAGCCTGCCCAGTGCCTATGTACTTTTACAAACAGTTCTTATGAATAATTATTGATTTGTTGAGTTGGGTTTTCAGGATGTTAATGCAATTTGTTAAACAGTTGGAGCATACTGTGAATTTGTAGTTTATTTTTAAGTTTTTAACTTGATTCCATGTTCCAGAATTGGAGTTTCAGTAACCAAACTTCAGCATGTGGGACATTTTATATATTTATATGTAGCATTATATCCTCACATATGTGTTGCCTAAAGGTACATTGGAAATGGAGCCAAAGGATCACGAGGTTGTTGATACAATGTTTGGAGTCAACTGAGTACATGGAAATTCGGAATGCCCTAATTTTGTTGACAAAAATATCCAATGTCTTCCCTGTAACTCGTAAGAGTGGGATTAATCTTGAGAAACGGGTAGGAACTATTGTGGCCATGCGAATTTATGCTGCTGTACTTCTTTCACATAGCATTTTAATATTTACTAGTGTTTCATTGGTTATTACTTAAAACAGGTTGGTAAAATTAAAAGTGAGGAAAGGGAGGATCTTAAGGTGTTGGCAACAGGCGTTGGTTCAGCTTTAGCTGCTAGGAAGGTACAGTTTTACAGGATTCTGCATTCACAATATTCTTAAACCTTGGTTCTTTGTAGGGTGCATGTTTGATCTTATGGCTGTTAATGAAATCTTGATTAGTTACTGTAAAAGTTAAAATGTCCTGGTAGACTTTTGTTTTATTAACGAATAAATCACACATCAAATACATCTCAACATGCAACCTACTCTTATAGAGAAATTGGCTACTCATTCCAAAATGTTTATTTCTTAAGGATAAAAATCTAAGTGTAATACGATACCATACCGTCAAGCTCAAACATGCTGTCTAGTCTGAGTAAAACTCTGATTGAAACTCAAATAAACACAATTTCAAGATCAATATGCTGATTATGCTCCAGCGAGTCACGATCTTGATGGGATCCATTTATGGAATGGTACATCAAATAAATATGCAGATACTAAGCAACATTAAGGCTCTGTCTACTCCTCAATATAGAATTATTTTAAGTATGGACATTCATGTTATCACTATTCACGGTTTCTTATGATCATTTTCTTTCATTATTGTCTAGCTTATCAATTTAGTTTACATCTGAATTTTCTCAAACAAATTGCTTCCCTCTTTGTTCTATTTACATGAAGCAAAGAGTAATGTATTTTCCTTATGCAGCCCTTGTGGGTTTCAGATGAGGAATTTGGAATGGGTTATCTTGAACTGAAGCCAGCTCCAGGACTGACTCAAAAGTCTGCAGCTGCAAATCAATCTGCTTTACAGAATGGAGCCTTGAACAATGTCTCTCAGGGAGAGCATGTTGGGGGCCGAAATGCTGCTGTGGGGAAGATGGGCGATGGGAAGCTAGACAGAGCAGAGAGTTCTTTGCAAAAATCTGATCTTGTCCATGCTAAAAACATTTTTGTTTCTTCTAATGGCCCTGACAATACATCTTCAAGGCCATCAACTGCTGTCCAATCGGGCACATCTAGGCCTGCAGAGAATCTGAAACTTATGGATGACTTCGCAAATGAGCCGCTTGGAGAAAGCAACATAAAAGCGGTTTCCAAGACTTCTGCCATCCAGGAGGTATTACCAGAAATTTGTGCAACTGCACTGAAATTACGTGATACTTCCATTACATTTTATTGTTGTATGGTAAATCTTTTAGCCCTTAAAGAAGTCTTACATTTAGAATGGTCATTGTGGTGAAACTGTCATGCTTTACTGGTAGCATGAGAATATGTTCCTTGCAATTATTAATGTTCAAAATTGTTCTTTTTTCTATATTAATGATACATGCTCATTTATATAGTCACTCTTTGACGACTAATAAATGACACAATTGACTGAAATATCTTCCTTGATCAGCTCTCTTTACCTCCACTTATTATTCTGTTCATTGACTTAGACCTTGATGCCACCTTTTCAGTCTAATGTATAGCTTTCTCAGTGTCATTGCAATATGTAAAGTTGAAATACCTCATTGTTATTGGCTTTACAACAACCCGAAAACCCATAGAAACCCAACTGTGTTGGGGCGTGGGAGGTCAAGATGTCAACAACCTTACTCTTTCATTTTGACTCTTGGTGTGTTGTTGCATTTACTTCCTAAAACTTCATTGAAACTAAGAAGCAAGAGGTTTAATGAGCCAGTTTGATTTAGTCCAGGATTTATCTAAAGCTATAACAATGTCAAAACTGACTCTTTTAGCTGCATTTGCGATGGATACATCAGTGTTCTTGGGTTTATTTGTGATGCACGTGTGATCGTACAAAAGATGGACATGGTTCAGAAAAAAAATATCTGGGGAAGGTGGGAGTTGCTCCATGGAGGATAAGATGGGTGAAGCTAAACTGAGAGAGCTTGGGCAGCCAGGCATATGCTGAGGATAAGTACGGATGCCCTAGTGAGGAGGTGCGAGGATGGGGGTAGTGGATGTGAGGGGTAGACCCAAGAGGAGTTGGAAGCAAGGTGATTAGACATGACTTATAGGTTCAAGAGTTAACCGGGGATATGGCCTTATTTAAAAGACATGCGATCTTTGCATTGTAATTCCAACCATTTAATCAATGTAGGGACGAAGGAAGTATATATTCTTTTATACTAACTTTGACCACAAATCAAATGTAATTTTAAATAAATAAAACTTATAATTAATTATACTTTTTTCACAATTTATGGTCAAAGTTAGCATAAAAGTCAAACATATATATATATATATATATATATCTACAACATTTCAGGATCTATAAAATATATATATATATATATATATATATATATATATATATATATATATATATATATATGTTTTGGTTCTGGTGAGAATGAGATCTTATGAAAGAAATGAGAATGCATGTAGTGCTTTAGAATGTGAGATCTAAGGGTCATAAGAACTTGAAAAATAAGAAGAAAAAGTCAGGAAAAATGTGGTGGCAAATTTGTAATTAAATCAAAATTTGTAAAATGCACTACTTGTTTTGTAAAGTCCACCATGGCAAACAAAAATGCACCATTCTCATTTCTTTCAAAAATGTGCCTCTCCTTGTCGCCATAACAACCTTCGAGCCCACATAGGGTAAATCCTGCGGAAATAGATAGAACGGAACGGGGATGGAGGGCCTGTTATTGAGAAGAGTAGAACACGGGGCTATGAACCACATTGTGGGTTTTTACTGTTGTATTGGTGGCTGTTGTACATAAGGTTACTGGAAGTGGAAAGTAGACTAGTTCAAGCTACATTGTTAGAATTAGTGTTGATTGAAAAAGCTCTCAAAGCTTACTATTCAAAAGATTTTATCCTTTGGTTTTGCACTTTGTTGGCCTACTTACATTTTTTAATTAATCAACTTGATTGCTTATACTGTTTTCATGGTTGAAGTTATTTATTATGATATCTTCAATATGTCTCCTTGGCTGCTTCTAAAATTCTATTCATTTTTGTAACGTTCTTAAAGTTTTATAGTAAGAGCTCATACTTGTTAGAATTTCAAACATTCACCTCTTTGCAGGTAAGAGCGACTACGAAGCGTGCTATTCCATCTGGATCACAAACAATGCAGCTAAAACTGGACCTTCCCAAAGATGATAGATCTGGTAAAGATCTTCATCCATCTGACAATAGGTCGGGTGGAGTTGCCTCTGCAATTTCAGGCAATAATAACTTGGGTTTAACAAAAACTGGATCCTTTAGCACTTCATCTTCACGATCTATAACTCATGGAAATGAAACAAAAGCTGAGATTGTCGGTGCAAAGTCATCTGAGACTAGGCAAACAACTGGAAAAGATGATGAAACCGAATCTTCTGAAATCTATGCCCAATCTTCGCGTACGTTACATTCTCCTCGACAGGATCTTTCCAAGCCTGCTGATCGGAAGAGAACAAGTCCCACTGAAGAAGTTGATAGACTAAACAAACGACGTAAAGGTGAGGTCGATCCAAAAGAAATAGATGGTAGCGAGGTAAGAGAAAGGGTAATCAATACTCGAGCTGTTGATAAACTTAATTCTGTAGATTATGATAGAGCAGTATTAGAAGACCAAAGTACAAGCAGACATACTGAAAAGTCTACTGATAGATCAAAAGATAAGGGTACTGAGAGACATGAGAGGGATCATCGAGAGCGATTGGAGCGGCCCGAAAAATCCCGTGGAGATGATATGCTTTCTGAGAAGTCCAGGGATAGATCAACAGAAAGATACATTCGGGAGCGATCTGTGGAAAAAGTTCTTGAGAGAGGCATAGATAGAAACTTTGATAGGCTAGGAAAAGATGATAGAAGCAAGCTGCGTCATTGTGAAGTTTCTACAGAAAAATCGTATGTGGACGAACGATTTCATAATCAAAGCTTACCTCCACCCCCACCCTTGCCACCTCATTTGGTTCCCCAATCCATTAATGCTGGTAAGAGAGATGAAGATTTGGATAGGCGTGTGGGATCTTCAAGGCATGGCCAACGGCTCTCTCCTAGGCATGACGAGAGAGAGAGGAGGCGTTCCGAAGAGAATATTTTGCTACTTCAGGATGATGTGAAACGTAGAAGAGATGATGATTTTCGAGACAGAAAGCGGGAAGAAAGAGATGGGCTTCCAATGAAGGTACTTTTTTTAGCCTGTCAAAGAATCTATGTTATCTCAGCTGTGACCTGATCACATACTATGCGTCCAAATAGATTTTATGATTTATTGAAGGCTTCCATCACATCATTATAATGTGTTTGCTTTTCTTTCCTATCAAGTACACCTTTAATGGTCTACTGTCTTACCTGTTTTGTATGCTTACAGGAACTTTCCTTTCTCAGCAGCATTAATTGTGTATATGCTTATCATGCAATCATGTCAAGATATTTGAATCACTTGTTCTCTGCTGCCGCATTTTTGAAATATCTATTTTGCTTTTTATCCTGTCTGATCGGACCTTAACAAAATAAAATCAGACAAAAAAAACAAACCCTTAAGGCTCTATTCCGTTAAGAAATCACCCAAAGTAAGAGTAAAACATAGAAAAAGTACCAAAATATGGCTGTCTCAGAATGATGTTTCCTTTCATAAATTAAAACAACATTTTACTTTTCTTGTGTCTTTTCATCCATAATTTCATCTTTTTACTTGGTTGGCCTTATTTCTTTCCTTTATTTCGAATGGGTAACCTCTTATAATAAGTAGCACCACCTTTAATCTATTAAAAAGCATGTGAAACCAAAATGTATTTGACAATTAGGAATTGAGGAAGCATATATATCTCCAGAAAAGCGTTGGGCTTGTAGCATGTCTCCTCACAATTCAGTCAGTAAACTGGGGGAAACGAGAGGGTTGAACTTTGAAGGGTTGCATGGGATACATGGTGTAAATGCTAATGATTGCCTGATTTGGAAAAGTTTAGAAGCATAACTATTCAATTCAAAGGAGAAATACAAGCTATAGACATAAAAAATGTGTTACGGGATGTCATAGAGGTTGTTTCTTTTCATTCAGGCCAAAATAGTAGTTCTTGCGACCTGTGAGGCCTGTCAACTTTTTCATTTTTCATTATATGTCAAGAAGCTACTGAAGTGTATAAGGGAGCAATTGCATTTCGAACCCTTTGAATGTTCTTTGATTTGTTAATATAATGTATTTCTTGTGCATTTTTCGTGATAAAATTTATTTTAGATTTTCTGATTTGATTGAAATCAGTTATACTCCATGCAGTTGTTGAATATGGATTGCTTGATTCTTGATTTGTCTGATACTCCTTATACACTGACAGTGCGTACATGTTTGCCAATTTTGTGCTTTATATTGAATGTTGTTTCACATACTGTAGAGTTATAAATCACTGGTGCCTACAGGTGGAGGAGAGGGAGAGAGAACGAGAGAAACAAAACCTTTTGAAGGAGGACATTGATGTCAATGCTGCATCCAAGAGACGGAAATTAAAAAGAGAGCATTTATCATCAGAATCTGGTGAATTTTCACAATCATCTCTTGTTCCTCCTCTTCCGATTAATAATATCTCACAATCCTATGATGGAAGAGAGAGGGGAGATCGTAAATCAGTCATGATCCAACGTCCTGGATACTTAGAGGAACAAGGTCCGAGAATTCATGGAAAAGATTCAACTAGCAAATCAACCCGTCGTGATGCTGATCCGTATCCTAAATTACTACTACTACCACCACTACTACTCCTACTGCTGCTACTATAACTACGATTACTACTCAGTTTACTAAATTATGAACATAATCCTTATAATATTACATACCTCGATTCAATGCATAGCATATTTGGTTCCTTGACCAATTCTCTTTATTATAATAGACTATATGATAGAGAGTGGGATGATGATAAAAGACAAAGAGGGGCTGAGCCAAAAAGGCGCCACCGCAAGTAATGGAGTTGTGTCTGCTCTTAGTAAAGAAGGTTTGCTCTTGATTTTTTTGCATGCTTTTGCTCTTTACCTGGACAACCAAAGTATATTTTTTTACCCATGTACTCCTGTCTCTAAATAAAAGCCAGCTTGGACCAAAGTCACCAAACACATAAGCCAAATGAAAACTCTGATTAAGATTTATGTAGAGGATAGAGAAACGATATGAATCAAATAATGCTTTCTGTAAGAGGCAATGAGAGGTAATCTTGGGAAGGAATTAAAGGAAAGTATGACGATTAGTAGGGATATAGAGTATCAAATTTCATATTACTCCATTCCAATTTGTTGTGCATGCTTTTCTTTTTGGTCTTCCCAATTTATTGAAGTGTTGTTACGTCGTGGAGTAGTCATCTACTATGCATCGTGTTGCAGGGAAGGGGCAACTGGCGTCTGGGGGGGGGGTCCGTTGCCTGCAGAAAGTATTTTTTTTTGTTTTTGTTTTTATTAATGAAAAAAAGGTCCGTTTGCAGAGGTGATTTTTTTTATTTTATTAATTAATATAATAAATAATCTTTCTTCTCCTCTTATCTTTTCACCTTCCCTTTTGGACAATCTCTACATAATGTTTCCATTTACTTCTAGTTTTTTTATTTGATTTGATTACATCTGTCAACAAACTGTGTTCTTAACCCCCTTTAGATATTTTAATTTCATGCCTTTGTTCTTGCTATCCTTGTTGCAATTGGAAGGATTTGTAATATATTACACTTATCAACTAATTATCGACTATTTTGACTTACTAGTCTATCCGCTGGCAACTCGACCTGTCGACGTAACAACCATGATTTATCGTGCATGTTTCGTAATATAAGTGTTATGCAGTTCACAATATTTTTGTCACATGCATAAACCTCAACCACATTTTTTGTTTACTTTATTGATACCAATGCCTAGTCAAAGTACGCACAACAAAGTGGGACTGATGGAGTATTATTCATGATAAAATTCCGCATTTGCTTAATAAATTGCGTCTGTCGTGCAGGTGCTACACCCTGAGTTTTAGTTGATGGAAGCATTGCTTGGGGAAGGCTGCAGAGAGGACATCTTGTTTGAATATCCCATTTGTGAGTCTGTGACCTTTATAGAGTGTGTGTGTGTGTTTTTTTTTTTTCTGCTATCCTTGAGTGCCGTAGAACCTTGGTAATTAGACTTGTTCTTCGCATAACCCGGAATAGTGAGGAGACATAATATAGATGACAAATATGTGGAACGCAATCCTGGTTAATGCTCTTAATAACATCAGTTAATGTGCTTTTAATGTCACCTTTTCCCTGTACGTAGCTTAAGTACAGCTCCTCTCTTAAAAGGACAAAATTTTGTGGTATTGTTTCTCTTTTGAACAATATTTAGCTGCATTCGTTTCGCTTTTAACGGGTATAAAGATAGTCATCATAGGTAAATAGGCGAATTAAACTTGATATTCACTCTCCCGACAGGTATTTGTTTCGATGAAAGCAATGTGGTTAGGGTGGGCGCGGTTAGTGACAGTTCAAGATTTTCATAAAAGTTGTATCATAGCATTACTATTCAAACCGTTTAGTACGCTTCAAATTTACTACCAAGTCGATTTGCTACCATTTCATTTTTAAATGTGTTACCATGCCTTGTGTGTGTGTGTGTGTGTGTGTGTGTGTGTGTGTGTGTGTGTGTGTGTATAGATTTTGGTTCAAGTGAGAATGCAATCTTATAAAAGAAATAAGAATGAATTTGGTGATTTAGATTATAAGATCTAAGGCCAAAATGATTTGAAAATGCATCATGTCGAAATGCACCAAAATCTTTTAAAAATGCACTATCTCAAAATATGGGTGCAGGATGCAATTTGAGTCGCACGATGCATCAGATCCAAAGGCTAGATTTTATTCTTATTTCTTTCACCAAGGTGCATTCTCACCTGAACCGCCCCCTATATATATATATATATATATATATATATATATATATATATATATATATATATATATATATATATATATATATATATATATATATATATATATATATATATATACTCCCTCCGTCCCTCATAGATCTTCCCATTAGCCCTTTTTATTTGTCCCACATAGATCTTCTCATTACCTTTTTTAATAATTAAAATATCACAACTACCCCCACTTACTTTATTTATTACACCTTTTCCACCTTATTTAATACACTTCACCCATTTTCATTAAGGGTATTTTGGTAAACTTTCACCTTTTTCAACTCTCCTTAAAAACCGCAAAAAGTCAAAACGAGAAGATCTTAGGGGGACGGAGGGAGTATATATATATATATGTATATGTATGTATGTATGTATGTATGTATATATATATATATATATATATATATATATATATATATATATATGGTAAGTCTAAAATGACACTAGTGCTATTAGTGTCATTTGCTTACACCAGTTCGTTTGGGGTACTTACGGTGCTTCGTTTGTAAAAACGACGGTTCCTACCCCCTAACTCTCCCACTAAACCACCCACCCAGACTATATATATATATATATGTGTGTGTGTGTGTGTGTGTGTGTGTGTGTGTGTATATATATATAGGGATTGACTCCAGTTAGATGACACCTTATGGTGAGATGACATGTTTCGGTGAGATGACGCAAAGCTCACCACAGTACCCTACAAAGCTCACCAATTGACAATGCAAAGCTCACCTAGAAATAAAGTAAAGTTCACCACTTTAAATACCAAAAATCACCTTTTTTTAAATTTTGAAAATTAAAAATTAATATAAAATAAAATAGCAACACGGGTCAGCGGCGGTTGCCGGCGACCGGACGGACCGGTGGTGGCCGCGGCGGCAGACGGACCGGTGGTGGCCGGCGGCGGCAGACGGCGGTCAAAGGTCTCGGTCAACGGTCAAAGTCTAGTCAACACCCCTTTCTTTGATTTTATTTTTTCAAAAAAAAATTCAAAGTGTTGAAAAAATATAGTGAGCTTTGCCTTAGAATTTGGTGAGTTTTGTAGTTATCCTTGGTAAGCTTTGCAGTTGGCAGTGGTGAGCTTTGCGTCATCTGACCGTAGCATGTCATCCCACCGTAACGTGTCATCTCACTAGAGTCAATCTCATATATATATATATATATATATATATATATATATATATATATATATATATATATATATATATATATATATATATATATATATATATATATATATATATATATATATATATATATATATATATATATATATATATATAT